TTCACTGTTGCCCAGGCTGGACTGCAGTGGCATGATCATAGCTCACTGCAGCCTTGAACTCCTGGACTCAAAGAATCCTCCCATCTCAGCCTCCTGAGTAGCAGCTGGGACTACAGGTGTGCACCACCACTCACCTGGCTAAATTCCACCCCACCCCCCCAGATGGGATCGCTATGTTGCCTAGGCTTGTTTCTAACTCCTGGCCTCATGTGATCCTCCCACCTCAGCTTCCCTGGGATTACAGGTATGAACCATCACAACCAGCAGTGTGTTCACTTTTATATGTGTGTTACAACTCAATAACATTTACATGAAAAACAAAGTGAGGAGGATCAACTTCTAGAACAGTGGAGTGAAGAGATCCACAGACCTATTCTCCAATGAAACAATAACTGGAGAAAGTTATAAAAAACCAATCATGGCTGGGCACGGCGGCTCACGCCTGTAATCCTAGCACTCTGGGAGGCCAAGGCGGGCAGATTGCTCAAGGTCAGGAGTTCGAAACCAGTCTGAGCAAGAGCGAGATCCTGTCTCTACTATAAATAAAAATAAATTAATTGGCTAACTAATATACATATAAAAAATTAGCTGGGCATCGTGGCGCATGCCTGTAGTCCCCGCTACTTGGGAGGTTGAGGCAGCAGGATTGCTTGAGCCCAGGAGTTTGAGGTTGCTGTGAGCTAGGCTGACGCCATGGCACTCACTCTAGCCTGGGCAACAAAGCGAGACTCTGTCTCAAAAAAAAAAAAACCCAACCATATAAAGTCCTTTGAAATTGTCCTAAGAGGCTGGTCCGATGGCAGTGGATTATCAGAACTTATTAACATTAGTGTCACTAAAGTTGGTATTCAACTCCTCACTGCTAAATTTGACTGGCTAAAAGAAAAAAAAATTGTTCTAAGAGCAGACAGCAAATGAAGAAATATTTCCAAAATTCTAATGATAGAATCTAATAATCTAATAAACCTCAGCAGGAAAAGTGAGTCTGACATCTGAGTCACAACCTGCTCCCTTCCTTCACCTCCAGCTCAGCATGCCTGAAACTCCACTCCAGGTGGGTGTGGCCAAGAAAGACTCCTGTTTTCCTAGCTTCCAGTTCTGGGTTATAGCATCCACCTCTCCCACCCTACCAGCCCCCAGGAGCAGACTGCCAGGATTTGTCATGACCTCCAGCTCAGATGTACAGAGGCTAAATTCCAGGTGAGTGGAGACTTTACCCTAGGCACTGCAGGTAGAGAATACTAAAGCCTCAATCCCTCTCATTCCAGCTTGTTCACAGGGTGAAAGCAGAATTCTAGGAGAGACAAGTCTAGTGTCCTGATTGTAAAAAGAAAAAAAATAAGCCATTGTAACCACCACCAGCTCCAGAGAAATATTGCAGAGATTTTGTTCAGAGGGAAAGGTAGGCCACAATAACTAGAGCTCCAATGGATCTCCCACAAAGGAATTAACTTAATTTAGAACAGAGTGTGGGGAAGTTCAAACCTAAGAACACTCTTGAAAACAATGGCAATTCTACTGTTGGGTAGGTGAGCCCATGCCACCCATGCCTGTAATCCCAGTGCTCTGGAAGGCCCAGGTAGGAGGATTGCTTATTGCCAGGAGTTTGAAAACAGCCTGGACAACACAGCAAGACCCTGTTTCTATAAAAAAATGTAAGTAGTCAGGCGTGATGGTGCATGCCTATAGTCCTAGCTACTTGGGAGACTGGGGTACGAGGATCACTTAAACTGAGGAGTTCAAGGCCACAGAGCTAGAACTGTCTCTAAAAAAAGAAACAAAGAAAAAAGAAATAAAACAATGGCAATTTTAGTTGTGAGCACTTAGAGGAGGCTGGCGGAGTGAATCAGCAAAATGGCCAAGTAGGAAGTTCCAAGCTCTTAGTGCTCCACAAAAATATTTAAAAACAAATAGAAACTATCAGCACTAACATTGTCAAACTCTGAAAAACAGTTAAAGGTTTATGGCAACCAGGAAAACAGTGAACCAAAAAAAGGGCAACTAGGAAAGTTTTGCGGAGTTTTTCCTTACTCTTGCTCTGTCTCCTCCCAGCATGGTGGCAGTCTTATTGAAGGGAACCCACATTCACAGAGTAGGACACTGGTCCCTAATTCTGGAGGGAGCAGAGCAGAACTTACTTATAAATTATTGTATGTCTGTTCTAATCTGTCTGGGCTACCTGAAGGGCTGACACAAAGCACTAGTCTGTTTCACCTAACTCAGAATTCAGGCCAGAAAAGCCTCAGAAATTGCCTAAGGGCAGCAGGGGGAGGGGAGGCCACTGCAAACCAAACTAACAACCCACAGAAGCCTTGGGAAAAAACTATAATCTACAGACAATTGACTGCCCAAGGCCCAGAAGCAAAAGCCGGGGAGTTTCTTTGGGAAATAAGGACATTCAAATGAACCCATTAGGCTGATCCCTAGGCTAAGTGTTGAAGGGAAAGGCTCAGCACTGAGACAACCTACCAAGACTAAGAGAAGTGCTTGTGTTTTGTTTTTGTTAGTTTTTCAACTTCTAGCACTCAAGGAAAGTTCTGTCAAAACACTAGCTAAACATAAGCTAAGGCACAGAGACTTCTGTGACCACACACAAGGAAGATAGTCTTTGCAAAAATAGTTTGGGAATTATTTCAGCAGTAACTGTAAATGGGACAGCCTTCAATAAACACCAGCAAAAGGCCAGGTGTGTTGGCTCTCGCCTGTAATTCTACCACTCCTCTACCACTCCGAGGCCAGGCCGAGGCGGGTGGATCGCTCAAGGTCAGGAGTTTGAAAGTAGCCTGAGCAACGATGAACCAGTTATAAATATTAACAAAGATTGGTAAAGAATTAACTGGCCAACAAAATTATAGAAAAAATTAGCCGGGCATGTGGCGCATACCGTTAGTCCGCAGCACTTGGGGAGCTTAGGCAGAAGGATCACTTGAGCCCCGAGTTTGAGGTTGCTGTGAGCTAGGTGGTGCCATGGCACTCTATCCAGGGCAACAGAGTGAGACTATGTTCAAAAAAAAAAAAAAAAAAGAGAGAATCCTGTCACATGCTGCAATATGGATGAACCCTGAAGACATAATGCTAAATGAAATAGGCCAGACACAAAAGGATAAATACCTACTATAATTCCATGTATATGTGATGTATATGTGGTACCTAGAGTTGTCAGATTCATAGACAGGAGGATAGAATGGTGCTTGCCAGGGACTAGGGGGAGGGAGAAATGGGTAGTTAGTTTAATGGTATGGAAATTTAGATTGAGAAGATCAAGAAGTTCTGGATATGGGTGGTGGTGATGATGGAAACACAACAAACTGAACATACTTAATGCCACTGAACCATACAATTAATAGTTGAAGCCTGGCCACATAGCAAGACCCTATCTCTACAAAAAAATTTAAAAATTAGCAAGGCATGGAGGCATGTGCCTGTACTCCTAGCTATTCTTGAGGCTGCGGTGGGAGGGTCACTTTAGTCCAAGAGTTTGAAGTTACAGTGAGCTATGATCAAGTTACTGCGCTCCAGCCTGGGCGACAGATCAAGACTTTGTCTCAAAAACAAAAAAAATTAATAATTTACTGAAAACCTTTAAACTGTACATTTTAATGGATGAATGTATAGCACTCTATGAAGATCTCAATAAAGCTATTTTTTTAAAACAAACAACTATTGGCCGGGCACAGTGGCTCACGCCTAGCACTCTGGGAGGCTGAGGCAGGCGGATCACTCAAGGTCAGGAGTTCGAAACCAGCCTGACGAACCGCCTGAGCGAGACCGTCTCAGACGACAAATAGAAAGAAATAATTGCCAACCAAATATATAGAAAAAACTAGCCAGCGCCATGTGTGTATGCCTGTAATCCTAGCACTCTGGGAGGCCAAGGCAGGCAGATAGCTCAAGGTCAGGAGTTTGAAACCAGCCTGAGCAAGAGCGAGACCTGTTCTCTACTATAAATAGAAAAATTAATTGGCTACTAATTACATAGAAAAATTAGCCAGCATGGTGGCGCATGCCTGTAGTCCCAGTTACTCAGGAGCTGAGGCAGTAGAGCGCTGAGCTCAGGAGTTTGAGGTTGCTGGAGCTAGGCTGATGCCATGGCACTCTAGCCTGGGCAACAAAGTGAGACTCTGTCTCAAAAAAAAAAAAAAAAAAATTAGCGGGGCATTGGTAGCGCATTAGTCCAGCTATTGGAGGGCGGCTGAGGCAGAAGGATTGCTTGACGCCGAGTTCAGGTTGCTGTGAGCTAGGCTGATGCCATGCACTCTATCCTGGCACAAAGTGAGACTCTGTCTCAAAAAAAAAAAAAAAAAAGAACAACTATGGTTTAAAATGGCAAATTTGGTTAAATATTTTTTATCACAAAAAAATATAAATTTTTAAAAGGCAGGCACAGGCACCACATTCAAAGTCTGGGCAGAAAATACTACGTGGCTTATTGCTCACATTAGAAGCAAGCCACTAAAGTCAAGTGTTCAGTTTAGGGCTCTTGAGGAAACAAGGTGTAGGGCTTTAAATAAAAATGACTGAACTAGATGAAATTGTAAGGGAAAGCTATTTTAATCTCCTTGCAACCTTCAGAGATGAGAATAATTATACGAATGGAGACGTGTAAGTAAATCAAAGGAAGAAATTTTAAGTAAAACAAATATTAACATCGGAATCTGTTTTCTTCTGTTGATGCTATACATCACGATTGCTCACTATGAATATTTATACAGCTTTTCACATGACTGAAAGCTCCAAACAGGCAATTTTTTTTTGTTCCCTCTTTAATCCAACAAAAACCTATCAAACACTGCGCAAGCATTGTAACAAAGGACAAATCTTGCCCTTGACTTTAATTGACATTTGGGGTCCATAAAACCTAAAACCTCCGAAAACTATTTAGACAAACACTAGTCGGGTTTTCCCCCCCTTTTTTAAAAGTGACGATTTCAAAGAAGTGACGATTCACTTTTTAAAGGATTTTGGGTGTTTACCCAATTAACACGCATGGTTTTACTCACCGATTTCCTCTGATGTTTGCCCAGAGGCTCTAAGCTTGCATTCCTTTGGATAGTGTTTTTGAATTATCTTCCACAGTTCTATGTTGACAAGAGAATTTCTTCGGGTATGGTACCGAGTCCACGAGGATACCCGGCGGCGACAAAAGGGACAGCATAAACTTGCCTTCTCGACTGTCGACTGGAAGCACGGATTACACAGCGTGTGGTTGCAAGGGAGGGTTACGGGCTCGATCAGAATTTCCGTGCAGATTTGGCACAGGCATTCCGACAGGGAAGGGATGGCGTCTTTGCGCACAGCCATTTTAATATGTTAATAAGGCCTATTCAACATCTACACCTGAAAGAAAAACAATTCTTGGCCAACAATGGAGAAAGAACCTTCGGCCAACTGCAGGAAAGGCAAATTAGCAGTTTTGCGTTTCAATGTTATGCCCAGCAGCTTATCAGAATTCGGAGAACAGGAGCATCAAACGCGTCTAGAAGCAAAAAGGAACTCCGAGGGTCACGCAAACAGTATTATTCTGGAAGGCGGTGTATTTGTCCATTTTTAAGACGACGTCAGGCAAGAAAAGAAGGGAACGTTTTCGTGGGGAGAGCTGGGCTGCTCAGAGGCACTAACACCACGGCTGCGGCAGGGCGGACGCGGGCCCCAGCTCCCCGGCGCTGCGTGGTGCGCGGAAGCTCCTCTCCCCCCGCTCACCAGGTGAGGATGCTCTCCCCAGTCCCAGGCCCCCGCTCCTGGAAGACTGCCGCTCCCGCCGGGGCTCCGGCTGCAGCCGGACCTCCGTTTTACCGTCGCTGCGAGGGCAGCGTGCGAGCCCCCGAGTCCCAGTTTTCGGGCGCCTTCCTTGCACTGCTTCCGGGAAGTCGGCGCCCGGCCCCTGCAGTCAGCCAAAAATCCTCTTCGTTTCTCCGTAGCAACCGGACAAGAGCTACTGACGTCACAAGCGCCCGCCAAAACCTCACTTCCCATCTGGAGACCCGCTCACTCGTAGAGGTGTCCGACGGACCGCCGGGCGGGACTTCCGGGACCTGCGCGCTCCGCCCCGCTGCGCCCCGCCCTCCGAGCCTAGCAGAGGGCCCCGCCCCCGCCCCAGCCCTGCCACTCTTCATGGTTGGGCGTGGGTGGGGCCGACCTTTCCCGTTTTTGTTTTCTTTGGGGTTCTTGCCTGGTATCAGTGTCCACACCAACTTTAACCTGACATTTCTGCTCCTAGAGTCTGCAGAAGTCCTTTGGGGTTGCAAACTTGGTCCCTGAGCAAAAAAAGAGAAACCTCCAAACAAATTATAGACCCGAACAATAATTTTTGTAATTCTTCACTTACTATTTTTCTTTTTTTTGAAACAGAGTCTCCCTTTGTTGCCCAGGCTAGAGTGAGTACCTGGTGGTCATCTTAGCTCACAGCAACCTCAAACTCGTAAGCTCAAGCAATCCTTCTGCCTCAGCCTCCGGAGGAGCTGGGACTACAGGCATGCGCCACCATGCCCGGCTAATTTTTTCTATATATATTAGTTGGCCAATTAATTTCTTTCTATTTATAGTAGAGATGGGGTCTCGCTCTTGCTCAGGCTGGTTTCGAACTCCTGATCTTGAGCAATCCTCCGGACTTGGACTCCCAGAGTGCTAGGATTATGGGCGAGAGCACCACGCCCGGACCAGAAAGATAGTTTTAAGAGTAGTGAGACTGAGTGCGGTGGCTCACACCTGTAATCCTAGCACTCTGGGTGGATTGTTCAAGGTCAGGAGTTCCAAACCAGCCTGAGCAAGAGCAAGACCCTGTCTCTACTATAAATAGAAAGAAATTAATTGGCCAACTAATATATATATAGAAAAAATTAGCCAGGCATGGTGGCACATGCCTGTAGTCCCAGCCACTTGGGAAACTGAGGCAGGAGGATTGCTTGAGCCCAGGAGTCTGAGGTTGCAGTGAGCTAGGCTGATGCCACGGCACTCACTCCAGCCTGGGCAACAAAGTGAGACTCTGTCTCAAAAAAAAAAAGACTGTATTAGACTTCTCCAGAGAGACAGAACCAATAGAATATAGATATAAATATATGAGAGGGGATTTATTAGAGGAATTAGCTTATGTGATTATGGTTGTTGAGAAATCCCACCACAAGCTGCCTCCAGGCTGGAGACCCTGGGATGCCTGTATCACAGCTCAGTCCAAGTCTGAAGGCCTCAGAGCCAGGAAAGGCAATGGCGTGACTCTCAGTCTGAGGTGGAAAACCTGAGAACTCAAGGGCTGCTTCTGGTATAAGTGCTGGAGTCCGAATACCCAAGAGCCTGGAGTTCTGCAGTCCAAGAACAGGAGAAGAATATATGCCAGATCCAGGAGAGAGAGGAAATTGCCATTTTGTTCTATCTGAGCCCACAGCTAATTGGATGATGCCTGCCCACATTGAGGGCGGCTTCTCCACTTAGTCCAGACTCACATGCCAATCTTCTCTGGAAGCTCCCTCACAGACACACTCAGAAATAATCCTGTACCAGTTCTCTGGGTAATCCTTAATCTAGTCAAACTGACACCTAAAATTAACCACCACACTAATTGATAGAAAAACACCGTTAACAGGCTGGGTGCAGTGGCTCACGCCTGTAATCCTAGCACTCTGGGAGGCTGAGGCGGGCGGATTGCTCGAGGTCAGGAGTTTAAAACCAGCCTGAGCAAGACCCTGTCTCTACTAAAAATAGAAAGAAATTAATTGACCAACTAAAAATATATATACAAAATATTAGCCTGGCATGGTGGCGCATGCCTGTAGTCCCAGCTACTTGGGAGGCTGAGGCAGGAGGATCGCTTGAGCCCAGGAGTTTGAGGTTGCTGTGAGCTAGGCTGACGCCATGGCACTCACTCTAGCCTGGGCAACAAAGTGAGACTCTGTCTAAAAAAAAAAAGAAAGAAAGAAAGATACTGTTAACATAAAATGGGAGGGATTGCAGTGGGAGTTGGGAGAGTAGATAAAGGGGAATAACTAATAATAGAATGAATACAATGAATACAATTTTAAAAGATAGGGGTCCTGCAAAAAAAGCTATTGAAAATATAACATTAACTCAACCCATCTGCCTCATAGGTATGAAAATCATAGCAAATTTGAATGTTATTTTGATGCAGGTAATCTGGACAAAAATAGAAAAAAATACAATTTTAAGTAGGCACGGGACTCTCCTTTTTGCAATCCAACCTAATCACTCCGTTATTCAAGTCCCTGATATGTATGCTTAAATACATAGGTTATCAGACTAGCTCTAGCATGAACTAGCTTTGTGGTCTTGGACTATCACACAACCTCACTGAATCTCATTGCTAAAGCAAGGCAATGCCTCCCAGGTATAAGAAGAGGATTAGGCCTAGTAATGTAATTTTGTCTAGGCTTGTCTGAAACAGAGAGACTTTCCATCATGAATACCAAACTGTCATCACCCAGACCCTTCCTCTCACCCTCCACCCTTCTACTGCCGGATTCCATCAAAACCTACAGTTTTGATAGTGCCTTCCAGATGGTAAAATCTGCAGTGGCATCATCATAACTCACCACAACCTCAAACTCCTAAGCTCAAGCGATCCTCCTGCCTCAGCCTCCAAGTAGCTGGCACTACAGGTGAGCACCTCGATGCAAGGCCCAGGTAATTTTAGATACGAGGTCTTGCTCTTGCTCAGGTTGTTCTCAAACTCTTGACCTCAAGCAATCCTCCCGCCTGGGCCTCCCAGAGTGTTTGGATTACAGGCGTGAGCTACTGCGCCTGATCCGGAATGATACAATTTTCACCTTAATCCTATCGGACTCTTAAGCAATTTGCAAGAACAACGAGCGTTAATCCCCACGTAATTGGATTTTGATATCTGACTTCCCGTATGTAACAGACCGCTATAAAAACTCGCAGTCAGTAACCAATTCAGTCGTTGGCCCTTTCCTAGACCAGCGACTTGGCTTGTCCTTGTCAAGCCTCAGAAGGCTCAAGCCATGGAGTTCCGTCCGTCGACCATGGGAGAGGCATCTTGGGGTCGGGCCGGTCTGGAGCCCCCCATGCCGCCGGGCCTGAACCGAGAGCAAGCCTGGGCCTGGGCGCTCGATAACTTCGAGGCGCTGTGCCGCCGCTCCTGCCAATGCCCTGAGCTCTGCTGCAACGTGAGCGCCGGAGATGCGGGCGGGCTGCTGCGCGGGGCTGACACCCGGCACGGAACTGCTTCCCGAGTTGAGAAGGGCCGAAAACGCTGTCGAGAGCCAAAGGCTGAAACCACAAAGGAGCTACATTTACCCCAAGAAGAGGCAGATGCTACCGGCAGCGGGATCCAATGGCGCCTGAACCAGCCAGGAGAGGCCCGCGCTTGCGGAGGTGAGCAGACCCGCGCGCACTTGGCCTCCTGCAGCCCAGGCCGTTCTGGAAGCTGCTGAACACCGAGGTTTGAAATGCGGAGGAACCCGGAAAGGAGAGGAACCCCAGTCTTGCTTACCACCCATAGCATGGCCCACTTCAACTGATTGCCTGGAAGGAACCGGAGACACCCAGTGGAGCCCGTCATACTGTCCCTGTGGACGATTTACACCTGAACTGTGCCTGGCATGCGTTGAACAGTTGAGGCCTTTACCGTGCCGATCATTCCTTATTTTGTTCTTTCTTTCCTGCATGACTTAAAGGTTTTTCAATTAGAAAAACTCTCCATGGAATTAATATGTTAAGCAAATTTTCTTTTAAATCTACTTAGAATTGCTGTGGTTGTTACTCAAATTGTACATGATGATTAAAGCCTTTCTCGTATTCTCCACCTGTGGAATTGATTTTGGAGGGGGGTAAATCAGACTTGGGATCTTTATAGATGGGCCTGGAAAAGAAAGGGGACAGGAACCTAGCTCAGAGCTTCATTTTGAACTCTGGGAGGCTGGAAGAGTTATGTATATCAATAGGGTGGGGAGGAACAGCTGAGAGAATCACTTAATGGAGTCTTTGTTTTGATTTCTATCTTCAGGTGCTTATGTCTTGGGTAGTGGATATATATGCCTCCTCGGATGTCCTTGGTCTTGTCTTTCTGTACCCATGACCACTTGCTCTGCCTGGGGCTGACCAGTTGCATTTCTGGAATCTCTGGCTTCTGCCACTTCTGAACAATGCAGGAGCCAGCTTCTCAGTGGTTACTGGGAGTACCGGGATGATGCAAGTTGAAAGTATAGGAGGTCACTCCTAAAGGAGTAACTTCGGTCAATTGAAAACAGTAGTAAGCACAGGAGATTAATTCCCTTTTCTACCTTCCAAGGCATGGTTCCTCCAATATGTCTGGAGAAGAACAAGACTCAGTGAATGTCCCGTAATCCTAGCACTCTGGGAGGCCGAGGCATGCGGATCGTTTGAGGTCAGGAGTTTGAAACCAGCCTGAGCAAGAGCGAGACCCCATCTCTACTATAAATAGAAAGAAATTAATTGGCCAACTAATATATATAGAAAAAATTAGCCAGGCATGGTGGCACATGCCTGTAGTCCCAGCTACTCGGGAGGCTGAGGCAGAAGGATTGCTTCAGCCCAGGAGTTTGAGGTTGCTGTGAGCTAGGCTGACGCCATGGCACTCACTCTAGCCTGGGCAACAGAGTGAGACTCTGTGTCAAAATAAATAAATAAATAAAAATAAAAAATAAATAAAGCATCAGTGCTCAATCCTTGCCTTGAGGGTGGGGTTTACATTTTTGAATGTTTCTGTTATTCACAGCACCTAGCACATGGCATATGATGTCCAGTAAATGTTATAGATAAGTGGTCAGTGTGTGAGAATTCCCTTTTCAGTATAAATAATTATGGTACTGTGCCAGAGATCAAATACACATCAGCATACAATTTATAAGCATTTCATTATACATATGTTGGTGTTTTTATTGTTTATTTATCTTTTAATAGATAATACATTCACACAGTTCAAAATTCAAAATGTGCAAAATGGATTAATAGTGAAAAGACTTTCTTTTAGCTCTAGCCTCTTAAATTTCTTTCCTAAGACAACTAATATTATCACTTCCTTATGTATCTCTGCTGAAGAAGTTTGTGGATATATAAACTAATACGCATTATATACATATCTGATTTTTGACCCTTTTTCCACTTAATATATATTGGAAACATTTAACAACAACAAATATCTTCGTGATGACTTTATATCATTACACAAAGAGCTTCTTCATTCCTTTATATGGAAAATATCCATTATATCAATTTGTCTCACTTTTTGCTATAAAAATAAGCCTATAATAAATAAATTATGCATGCTTTTTGCCATTTGCAAGACAAATTACTAGAAGTGGAATTACTGGGTGACAGGTTAGTTTTTGACTGATGGCATCAACTCTTTCAGGGTTGACTTTTGCTCTTCAGGAGTCCTCAGTGCTCTCCCCTTCTCAATGATCTGAACAGCCCTCAGCAAGCCATCCTGTAGAGCCTGGTTCTTTACCATGTTAGTAATCATGAACGTGACGTCCCTGATGTACATCTGTCTCATTTTAGCAGCACAGTGTTCTGCCTTGTTACCATGTGCAATAAAGAAGGTACAAAGTGCTGTGACATCTCCTTCTTGCAGCCCACACCCCTCCAGGACAGACTCCCACACAACTCTAATGCGCTTGTTCTTGACTTTTCGTCTAAGGACAGAGGCTAAGGTAGGAAGACCTGTCACCAGGTCTGGCAGCTTCTCAAGCACACGAGTGTGCAAGCAGATAAGTACTTCAATGACGTAGCTGTAAAGAATATTCAATTCCATTGAAGTGAACCTATGAAAAATATGGAGAGCTTCTTAAGCTGTTGAACATTTTATGAACAAACAAAATGAATTCTATTAGGAAAACTCAATACAAACCCACTAGGAGAACCAGTTGTTGTGATTTAGAAAATACTTACTTTTGAATTAGAATCTGCACTAAAGTAGATAGCTGAGTTCTCAGGCCACCCACACTATAAGTTCCTCAATGGCAAGGGAGTTATTTATACATCTCTGGGTTAGCAAGACTGGCAAACAAGAGACTGTGATGAGATATGCACTACAGTGCCTGCTCAAATTAATCTTTTTTGAATAAATGAACCCAAGAACATGTAATTTCTTCGCAATTCATTGTTGAAATCATATTAAGAAATTCAATTTTGGAATGACCACTGGAAGCTGTCACAAAGCCACAAAATTCCACTGATTTCTCAGTCGATACTCACTTGAGGGACAGAACTGCTGTCCACATCTCAGCTTGGACTGCTTGGCTTGCCAAAATCATACTATGATGTTCAAATTTCTGTGTCAGATTATCCTTAGTGAAGTCCAGTTCTTTAAACTGTGCTTCTAAAGCTTGCAGTTTGTGGTCTACCCTATAGGATAAAACAATCAAGTGTTAGTTTGGGTCAGGGGACAAAACTAAGCTAAGGCTCAACCCATTATTGAGCTAAGGCTCAACCCGTTATTTAGAACTGTGGTCCCCAAGCTTGGGACCCCGAGTACCACGGACTGGTACTTGTGGCCTGCTAGGCCACACAGCAGGAGGTAAGCAGCAGGTGGTGAAGTTTCCTCTGTATTTATAGCTAGCTGCTCCTGTCACTGGAGTCACCTCATAAGCTCCACCTCCTTTCAGATCAGCGGCAGCATCCTGAACCCTACTGTAAACTGGGCATGCGAGGGATCTAGGTTGCCTGCTCCTCATGAGAATCGAATGCCTGATGATCTGAGGGGGTGATGCTAGCACTGGGGAGCGGCTGCAAATACACATTATCATTAGCAGAGAGGTTTGACTGCACAGTAAACGTGATGCTTTTGAACATCCCCAAACCGTCCCCTCCCCGCCCGCCGCCCAAGTCCATGGGAAAAATTATCTACCACAAAGCCAGTCCCTGGTGCCAAAAAGGTTGGGGACTGCTGATTTAGAACCACTACCAAATTTGGGTGATTATTTACTTAATTTTTAGGAACAGGGTCTTGCTCTGTCTCCAAGGTTGGAGAGCAGTGGTGCAATCCCAGCTCACTGCAGCCTCGAATTCCTGAGCTGAAACGATCTTCCTGCTTTAGCCTCCTGATTGGCAGGGACTACAGGCATGCTTCACCACACCTGGATAATTTTTTTATTTTTTTGTAGAGACATAGACAGGGTCTTACTATGTTGCCCAGTCTGGTGTCCAGCTCCTTTCTTCAAGTGATCCTCCTGATTTAGCCCTCCAAAGTGCTGAGATTACAGGCGCGAGCCACCACACCCATCCCAGGCAACTATTTAAATTTAAAATTATGAACAGATATTCTCATTCACCATTCCCTTTAGCCATCATCCTTGTTCTTTCATTCCTTATATTGCCAGGCTTTAAATCATCTAATTACTTGAATTATCTGCCATGTCTTGTGTTTGTATTATGCTTTTTTTTTGGAGACAGAGTCTTACTCTGTTGCCCCAGCTAGAGTGCTGTGATGTCAGCCTAGCTTACAGCAACCTCAAACTCCTGGGCTCAAGCAATCCTACTGCCTCAGCCTCCTGAGTAGCTGGAATTACAGGCATGCACCACCATGCTCGGTTAACTTTTTCTATATATTTTTAGTTGGCCAATTAATTTCTTTCTATTTTTTGTAGAGAAGGGGGTGGGGGATGGGATGTTTTGCTCAGGCTGGTTTCGAACTCCTGACCTTGAGCGATCCGCCCGCCTCGGCCTCTTAGAGTGCTAGGGTTACAAGTGTGAGCCACCACGCCCGACCTTGTATTATACTGTATACTTTAAAGAACATTTTATATAACCACTACTTTGATTCTCACAACCATAAGAAGTAAAACAGCTATTTTTACTATTTACTATTTTACTCAATTTCTTTAAATCGAGTCTCAAAAAGATTGAGATCTAATGTACAAAGTAAGCAAGTACTGGGACCAGGATATACTAAGGTGACCTTTTTCTACCCTATTCTAATTGTCCAGATCCTAGCCTTTCTTCAAGGATCAGCCCAAATCCACTGCCTTCTTGAATCCCCTCTGTACCTGGAAATGTCCTTGCTCTCATACTTCCCTTTCACAAGGACTACTTACTACCCACTCCCTGCTTTACTTTTAGAGTTAGCTTTTCATGAACTAAATTGTAAGTTCTTGGTGGGAGGAGTTCAGAGACCATTTCTAAGATATCTTTATGCTTGTCCCCCAATACATAGCAAAGGCCTTACACAGAAGTAATAAAATGTTTCTCATATGATTGACATCTGTGATTCGAATGAGATGCTGAGCTGTGTAACCCAAAATGGGGATTTGAGTCGCTCTAAACAGCCATGATCATCACATGGTTCCATGGCACCATGGTTATGTCTAATTAACCAGAAAGAACTGCAGAAACATAACTTACTTGAGTCACCCACATTGTCTTCCATGAAGAAATTGATGCACAAACACATGTGCCACTTCCCGGAACTTCTATGACCCCAGTGACCTGAATACCTTTGTGGTTGTCCAGGGCTCTATTTTTGACCATTTTTTCTTCTTGGTCCTCAGTTTCTCCCAAGGCTTATTTAGCTTCAGGCACTACTACCCTCCTAAACTCTAGACCTATATTTTCAACTGTTTTGAACATCTCCATCTGGATTCTAAGCTGAACCCTCTACTACGCCCCACCTCCACCCATCTTCAGAAATTACTATGGGGGGATTTTCTCACTGCTTTGGATCTATTTACACATAGACAAGACTCAGTAAGAAATGTGCATTTCATAGGAGTACTAATCTGCATGACCTAATATACCAGCAATCTCTATCTACAAGTCAAAACCATGTCATTTGGCATACTATTTGTATTAACTTTTAGACCTTGAAGACTATATTGCTTATAGGTCATCTCTAGCTTGAACTGTAGCTTGTCAATCAGTATAAAAATTTACAATTGCAGCAATTCTTTGGAATCCTCTTACCAAAGGACATTCCCAGACCATTCCAGATAAATCTGAAACAACATGCAAATCTGAGCGTAGTCTGTTTTTTACAATTTCTTAGCTCAGTTAAATACCTTACCGTCTATCCAGTTGCTTGAACTAGAAATCTCAGAATAATTCTCAACTTTTTTTCCTTCCTCTCATTAATGTCTCTTTTTTTTTTTTTTTTTTTTGAGACAGAGTCTCGCTTTGTTGCCCAGGCTAGAGTGAGTGCCATGGCATCAGCCTAGCTCACAGCAACCTCAAACTCCTGGGCTCAAACAATCCTGCTGCCTCAGCCTCCCGAGTAGCTGGGACTACAGGCATGTGCCACCATGCCCGGCTAAGTTTTTTTCTATATATATTAGTTGGCCAATTAATTTCTTTCTATTTATAGTAGAGACGGGTCTCGCTCTTGCTCAGGCTGGTTTTGAACTCCTGACCTCGAGCAATCCGCCCACCTCGGCCTCCCAGAGTGCTAGGATTACAGGCGTGAGCCACCGCGCCCAGCCCCATTAATGTCTCTTTAATCCATCCCCTTCTCCTTGTCCCCACTAAATGAGTTTCACATAATCTTTCAGTGGGACCTAGGATTACAGCAGCCTAACCGGACCCTTGCTTTCAGTCTCCAATCCATCTTACAGACATTTTCTTCTAGAAGACAATTCTGATCAGGTAACTCAACTGATTATAAACATTTTATGCCACTCTGACTTGCCCAGTGATCTCTTCAGAGCCACATTGTATTTCTTCAGCAGGAATCATAAAGCCCTTGTTCCTTTGCCCCATCTTCTGCCAGCCTTCTCACACATCCTAGTCAGCAGTTATGTGAGGTAGCTAGCGGCTCACTCAGTACAGTAAGTGCCTCCGAGCTTACACATGGCTCATAAGTACTGTTTGCTCAGCCTAGAATTCTTTCCAAGATTTTTCTTCCTCATAAACTCCTACGTGCACTTAAGATCCAGCTTGAATGTCCCTCTATGAAGGGTTCCTTCTCCTAGTGTCAAAAGCAAAATTTATATATCTTCCCCTCATGTTCCCATATCCCTTTAGGAACATCACCAGTATAAAGTTAATCACATTACATTTTAAGTATTTTTGAATACTTCTGTCATTCTTACAGCTGTGAGCTCCTTGAGGGCAGAAACCACATTTTACTTATTTTTGTAAACCCAGCATTTAGACATGCATAAGTTAAATGAAGTTACAGTACCTGGAGGCAGATTTTTCTTTAATTTACATACTTTTTGGACCTGGAAGACTTAAACCACTTTAACAGAGACAGAATTCTAATTAGCATGTCTGTAGTTCTTTGCTTATAGCTATTCTTCATTCTTCTTATCGTACCCTCTTCCCAAAATGGTAGACCCACGCTTGCTCCCTCCCTGTAGCCCTTAGCAACCTTTTCATTGCCTCCTTCAGGGACATCAGGGTTGTGGTTTCATTGTTCATCTTCTTAAGGCAAAATGAAAGAAAACAAAACAAGGCAAAACAAAAACCCAAGAGATGTTTGAATCCAGGGATTCCTGCTGTCTTTCACTCAGCAACAGGCAGCAGTAGCCTGAGCATTGGATCTAAATTCTGCCCGAAAGGTCACTCCGCACAAGAATCTTTTAATAGCTTGTACATCCAAATATAGTTTCAAGGAACTGATCGTGTGAACACAGGTGTCCTGGAATACACTATAACATTTGCCTTTGAAAACTGAGCCATAGTACATCAACACAGATCAACAACCATATATAATTATGACTGTATATTCTGGTAAATGTATATACAGACATACAAATGAACACATACAGTGGGATTAAATTTGGTGGAAATTTTCCTGTCATATTTTAACAGCTTTGTTATTTGATTACAACCTAAATTAGGTTTATAGAGTGCCCCAGATCTTTTATGATGATGACAATATCAAAGCTAAAAATTTAACTAGTGATCATTAGGAACTGCTAAATATTTATTGACAGTTTCTAGTATTAGATTAGAAATTGAATATATAAACAGACATAAATAGGATTCTTGTTTTCATGGAATTGAAAATCTAATTGGGAAGATAGAACATATACTTAAAAAGAAAAAGTACATAAAATGCTGTGTGCTAAGTACATACACACCGTAAGACTCATAAAAGATGAGAGAGTAGGTCCTTGAAACCTTGGGTTTAGGGAAGTGCTCACACCAAATGTGGGTCTTGGATTGACCTTAAAGGAAAATATAGGTCTTTGATTATCAGAGAATATATGAAGGATATTACAAACTGGAGAAATGTGTAGGCAAAATCACAGAGATGGCCAAGTAAATGATGTGTTCAGGGAACAAAGAGTGGGTATGTTCTGAACAAAAGATTCACATGAAAAAAGAAAACAACAGCAACATTTAAACTGGTAAGAGCCAGGTCATGTATTTGTTCATTTATTAAATACTTTATTCATTTATTCAATTTTTACTGAACACCATAAATTTATTTTGTCTTTTGTTTTGTTTTTTAATTTCCCCCATATCAATAGAGATGGGCACTGAACAGCATAAATATGAATTTAATGGGTAAAACCTATGATTGAATGAACTGCACTATTCTAGGCATTAGGAATACAGTGATGAGTAACGTAAAACCTTGTCCTCAAGTAAGGACGACACACAGTAAGGAGACCGTAACCAAGTATTACAACAGAGGGGCTGCTTCTAGACAGCCTGGTAAGGAGTTTGGACATACGTGAGCTATTGGTTCTGCAAAATTAATCTAGCAGTGATGTTATGGTATAGTATGAAATATATTTGGTCTTTGTCCCTGTTCCTGTCACAAAGCTCCTGAACTCTTGAAAATTATAGAAGTATCTTTTATTATTCATAATGATCCCTTTAGAGCACATCTGAGTTTATGGTAATGAGGTGATTTAGTGTGGGGCGCCTAGATAGCCTCTGGATAGGACTGGTCACCAGAAAGACAAAGCTATTATAGCTCCACCCACTGACTTCCTGGAAGGAGGGGGTGGGGGCAGTGAGGGCAATGGAGATTAACTTCTATAAAAAGTCTTGGATAATGAAATTTCATGGGCTTCTCAGTAGATGAATGTAGGGAAGTTCTTGCAGGGGGTGCCCCAGAGAGGGCATAGAAGCTCCACACTCCCCCATACCTTGCCCTATGCATCCCTAAATCTGGCTGTTCATTTGTATCCTTTATACTATCCTTTATAATAAACCAGTAAATGGAAGTGTTTCCCTGAATTCTGTGAACTGTCCTAGCAAATTCATCCAACCCAAGGAGAGGGTAGTGGGAACTCTGATTTATAGCTGGTAGGTGAGAAGTGACAACCTACCATTTGTGATTGGTTTCTAAAGCAAAGGGTGTTAAGTTGAACTAAATGTGGCCTGAGGACGCCTCTGTACTTGAGTCCTTTCTTAGGGAACTGCAACCTAACTTAAAATGGAAACTATCTGAAAAGCCAAATTTGGAGTGTACTTTTGCAACAAACAGCTGAGTCTCAGCTAATCACAGCAGTCAAGTTTCAATCCCACGCAGCTAATTGATCAGACCATATACAAATGGCAAACACTGAGCTGTAACTAATGAAGCTCTCTCTACCTTTCTCCTGTTTTCTGTCCATAAACACTGCCTGACCTCATCGTACCCCATACTTCCCTGTTCTGGTTTTGAGGGATGCCTGACCAAATCACTCTTTGGTCATTTAAACTCTGTTAAATTTAATGTGTCTAAGGTTTTTCTTTTAATAAGGGCAATCTTGTGGGACTAAGCCCTTAACCTGTGGGATCTGACTCCAGGTAGACAGTATAAGAATTGAATTGAATTATAGGACAGCCAGTTGGTGTCTGCTGGAGAATCACTTGGTTTATGGGGAACTTCTCCCCACCTTCAATCTGGTCGTTGGAGTGTTCTGTGTTGAATGTTAGCAGAGAGAAAAATAGTTTGTTGTTTCCTTTGTGGATGTTCAGGATGGATCCAAGTGAGAATAAAACCAGAGGCAGAGAAACTGCTCAGGAGACTACTATCAAGTTTATTTTTATTTATTTATTTGAGACAGAGTCTCGTTCTGTCACCGTGGGCCTAGAGTCGCCATGTGCATCAGCTTACGTCTCCAATCCAAACTTCTGACTCGAAACGATCTCTGCCCAGCCTTTCAAGTGACCTGGGAATACAGGTGCTACAACAACGCGGGTAATACCATGTCGATGGAAAAAAAGCCAACTCTGAAAATAATTCTCAGAAGAGATTTATTCCTGACAAATTCATGAGGACCATCCGACTGGAGTCCTGCCAAGAGGCCTTGGGGCAAAGTGGGGCCTTGGCTGTACAGTTCAGCTTAACATGTTTCAGCAGAACAGGGTACAGGCAAAAGTCACAAAAAACATGAAGGCCATACATTGAGTTGGCCAAAAAGGGAACCATCTTGAAGGGGTGGGGGCGGGGGGTGGGGAAGAGGTGCAGTGGGAGGGGTGGGGGGCCTTACAGGTTAAGGTGGGGTTTAAAGAGCTTGGCTGGCCAATGGCTTGAGAGAGTTAGAACCTTATTAAAGCAAGACCAAAGATCAATGCTTTACTTTAAGATAAAGGGTATGAACTCTGGGAGTTCCAGACAGAGGAGCATTTAAATTTACAATAGGCCGCACTGCAGGTGCTGGAGTTAAGATATTTTAGCAATTTATGAAGGCACTCCTAGGCATGCCGAGTTAAAAGGGGATTCCTATCTTTTAGTGATGTTAAGTCCATACCAATAGAATCAGGTTGGGCAAGTAAACCACCCGCTTTACCTTTGGTTAACAAAGCTGCTTAGTAGGAATTTACATTCTGTCAGCCTGACCAGCTGGCCTCTTAGGAAAGAGTTTTAGCAAAAGACAGAGTTCAGTCCTCCTATCAAGATCAGATTGACGTTAGTCCCTAGTGATAATCTTGGTCCAGGAATGGAAGGTAAGGACAGATCTAAGAGAGCATACCAGCGCGGCCCCGTGGTGGCTCACCCTGTAACCCGAGCACTCTGGAGGCCAAGTAGGCGGTTGCTCGACGGTCAGGAGTCAAAACAGCCTGAGCCAGAGCAAACGACCCCGTCTCTACATAAATAGAAAAGAAATGAATTGGTCTGACTAATATATAGATCCCAAAGAGGCCCGGGCAGGTGCCACATGCCTGTAGCCAGCACTTGGAGGCTGAGGCAGAGGATTGGCTTGGAGCCCCAGGAGTTGAGTTGCTGTGAGCCCTAGGCTGAGCCACAGCAACTCACTCTACGCCGGCAACAAAGGAGACTCCTCCTCCAGAAAAAAATGCATAAGAACAATTCAACCCAAACCGGATTACACTCTGGAGGTTTGAGTCAGGTAAGTCCACATGAAACTTCAGAAGTTTGGTGTCTAGAGGAATCGACGTAAGTCACTCTTTGCCTCAGGGGGAAACCTGGGGAGCTCTTTGTGCTACCAGTGCCCATGACCCACACCCACCCCCACTACTTTTCTCATTAACCCAGAATCAAGTTTTGTCTAAGTATTGGGCAGCAACGTGTATCAGGGAGATGACCTCTCCCTAGGTCTCTCCTCGCTTTTGAGACAGAGAGTCTTGCTTTTGCCCAGGCTAGAGTGATGTGCGCCGTGCATCAGCCTAGCACAGCACTCTAAACTTCTGGCTCAACATAACTACTGGCCTCAGCCCTCCCACGCAATACCTGGAACTACAGGCATGCGCCACCATGCCTGGCTAATTTTTTCTATATATATTAGTTGGCCAATTAATTTGTTTCTATTTATAGTAGAGACGGGGTCTTGCTCTTGCTCAGGCTGGTTTGGAACTCCTGACCTCGAGCGATCCGCCCGCCTTGGCCTCTCAAAGTGCTAGGATTACAGGCGTGAGCCATTGTGCCTGGCCAGAAAAGTTTTTCTGATGATAAAAAGAGGCACATGGGCTGGGCGTGGTGGCTCACGCCTGTAATCCTAGCACTCTGGGAGGCCGAGGCAGGAGGATCACTTGAGCTCAGGAGTTTGAGACCAGCCTGAGCAAGAGCAAGACCCTGTCTCTATTAAAAATAGAAAAAAATTAGCTGGGCTTGGTGGCGTGTGCCTGTAGTCCCAGGTACTCGGGAGGCTGAGGCAGGAGGATTGCTTGAGCCCAAGAGTGTGAGGTTGCTGTGAGCTAGGCTGATGCCGGTGCAGTTTAGCCTGGGCGACAGAGAGAGACACGTGGGAGAAAATGGTCTCTCTTCATCTGTCAATATTGTTGCATTATCATGTGAAGCCTGGAACTGCAGCAGCTAGGACCATGAGGAAAACCAGCCTTATAGAACAAGCCAGCACAACAGAGGAGAACCATACAAGGAACCTGTCACTGAATTAAGCTCTCGTGGAACTGTTCTGTTGCTGGAGGTTTCATTGTCAGGAACAATAACTTTGCCTTATCGGCTAAGCCTTTTGTAGTTGGGGCTTCTGTCTTTAAGGAGCTAACATTTCACTGAAGGAGACTTTATATATTAGGTTCTTCTTTGCTGGGGTTTCTTCTCAAGCCTTTGTTTTTCTGGAGCTAACAGTACTTTTTTTTAAAACTGGGGGAGAGAATCTATAATAATCTGATCACAAAAATGAGATTCTCCAGTGTTCTCTGTACCCAG